TCTGATTTCAACCCCACTAAGAACCTAGTGACATCTTGTTATTCCCTCTGTTGTTGCTAAACCTTAACATCTAGAGTGAGAGGATGATAGACATTGAATTCATTTCTGAGGTTCTTCATACTGGCATAGTACTATTCTATGGTTTTATTCCCTTGATGCTGATCAAAATACTCTTGATAGAGCTGATATACCATTATAGTATTATCCTGCCCAGAATAAAGCTTATTGGCATGTTCCCATATGTCCTTAGTTGTATCTAAGAACATAAAGTTGGCACTTATTTTGGGTTCCATACTATTCCATAACCATNAATAAAGCTTATTGGCATGTTCCCATATGTCCTTAGTTGTATCTAAGAACATAAAGTTGGCACTTATTTTGGGTTCCATACTATTCCATAACCATGTCATGATTTGGGCATCTTCCTGTTCATAGTCATCAAACCCTGGAGAGTTAGCTGATGGTTTATCTTCCTTCACGTGTTTCACTTTCCTCTTTGCTTTGAGGAAAACTTCCACTGACTTGGCCCATGGCACATAATTTTCACCATTAAGTTTAATGGAGGTCATCTGCACACCCAAATAATCGGAGGGAATCATCACACTCGGTTTCTGATCACTAGAACCACCTCCCGTTGCTGCAATTATGTCTCCCCCACTGCTATCTCTAATGCTGAACTCTCAGTCACCAACCAAATACTACAGCAGCCAAGGCAACACTACAACAGTCTCTAAACTCAGGTGATAGGTTCACAACAAGTCACAATCAGTCACCACTATGCATAAACTACCATTCAGATTAAGAACAAAAGGTAAACCAACATTCAGACAACACCAACAAGGCAGAAAATTGATGTAGGCAATTCGGCCATTCCTTCCAGCCCAAAAAAAAAACAACTTTTGTTCTTACTCACACCACTATTGATTACACAGAGCCATAAATCACCACTCCAGTAATTCAACAATTTACTAACCACATACAAGCCCTCTTGAGGTTGCTCAATAAAGGGTGAGCATCAAAAGCATCACCACACAACCATCTCTGTCCCACATGGTACAGGTCTGTCTGGCCCTTTTTTTTTAAAGGTCACTACCAGTCCAAAGACATCAACTACAACCACTAAAGTAACCCTTGCACCATTCGGTCATTGTAAACACAACCTGTTCTTGGGCCTTTTGCCGAGAACCAAGGCTACAAATAACCTAGTTCTTTAAGTTCTGATCAGTCCGAGCAAATTTTTGACGGTTTTCCAACCCATAAACACCAACAACACAAAAAAAAAGGATAACCAACCTTGATAGAGAGCTTTAGTCGACCATCCACTTATTTCTGGAGTTATTCTCTTGAAAGGCAATCAAGTTCTAAGCAGAGAAAGAGAGGCCAAAGTGTTCTCAGACCTAGGTTGAGTCTGTGTTCTCCATTTGTAATCCAGAGAGAAGAAAAAGAAGTCACGAACAAAAAGGAGTAGCAGTCACGAGCAGAGATTTAAAGAGCAACGTCCTGCTCTAATACCATGTTATCTCAGTGGCTTCAGCAGTTCGAACCAAAGGAAGAAGAAGAAGAAGAAGAAGAAGAAGAAGAAGAAAATGAACAATCGAATCTGATAGCTTAAACCCTATCAGTTGACCCTAATATGAATTAGCCTCTAATTAGTTGTACAAAGACTAAACTGTGCCCCCCCCCACTTAAGTATGGGACAGGAAGTCTCTATTAAAACTGCCACATAAGCACATAACTTAACAGAAATAAAATGACTAATTTACCCTTATTCGGCTAGCTCTAACAGAGGTCAAATGGAGCTGGTTGCCTGGACGATTCCCAATAAAAAAAAAAGGCAGTTCGATCGTCCAGTTCGAACGGACGGGCCGTTCTGGCAACAAAAATTACAGGAAAAAAATTGAGTGTGTGAGGTCCATTAAGCAGTACCATACGTGTTATGTCATTTTAGCATGTGACTCATACGACTCGAAAAACAGAACCGCTCTAGCCACCGGTTTTCGGGCCAACGGTTTGACCGTCCAATTCGAACGGATGGCCTATCCTAACAACAAAAATTAAAAAATAAAAGAAAAACAACCAAAAACCATTGAATGGGTCAACGGGTCGATGGTTTGACCACCTGGGTCAATGGGTCGATCGATTCAACAGTTTTTGGCCAGGGACCGGGATTGGAATAAAACGAAACCAGTTGCCTGGACGGTTCCCAATTAAAAAATGAAAAATGGTCAAAACCATTGAACGGGTCAATGGGTCAGCAATTCGACCGCCCGGGCCAATGGGTCGTTAATCGATTCAATGGTTTTTGGCCAGGGATCGGGATTGGGGTAAAACGGAACCAGTTGCCTGGATGGTTCTTGGGTCGAAATGTTTAGCTCCATCTCAAAGCGGAACTTTGGACTCGATTTTCTGATTTTTTTCCTTGGCTTTTCCAGTTTGGTAGATTTACCACTTTTTTTTTTTTTTGTTTAAGGTCACTTTGGATTTATCTTCCAAGGTTTTGGAATCCCTTGCAATGCCCAACCTTCCCATGGCTATGACTACAAAGTTATTTCGTCTAATTATTGGCATCTAGAAAAAATGACCCAGAAATGGAACCGTTCTGGCCGCTGGTTTCTAGGTTGATGGTTCAACCATCCGGTTCGAACGAATGGTTTGTTATAACATAAAAAATTAAAAATTAAAAAAATARAAAATAAAAAATGGCCAAAACCGTTGAACGGGTAGACGGTTCGATCACCCGAGTCAACGGGTCGTTGACTAATTCAACGATTTTTGGCCAAAGACTGGGTTTGGGGTAAAATGGAACCGATTGCCTAGACAGTTCTCAAGATGAACGGTCCTATTGTCCAGGTCAATTGGGAGTTCTCGATGCAAAACAAATGACAACTATGAAGTAGAACTTAGAATTATCACTATATGATCGTATTATTTTATATAAAATGCTTTGCTAAAACAATATTTAAAAAACGAGCTGATCTCTTTTAATTCTTTATATGAGTTTCAAATACTTATAATTACAAGTTTCTTATATTAATAAAGCATTATCTTTTATAACGTAGCAAATAGAAATGTTGCAATTTCGCATGGGCCCATCCGCTAGGATTATATAAATCCAGAAAAGCTAGAAACTGAATTGCTTTTAGTTGCAGTTTTCCAAAAACCAAAGGATCAGTTCTATTTGTAAAAAGAAGGCCACAGCTGAGAGAACTATTAATAACCTGGGCGCGGGCACCCCGTACCCCGCTTTGCCTTGAGACATATGTCTCGGAATCCCGGCCCGGTCCGGTTCATGATCACAAATGGTTTGGTCATCCAATCCGATCAAGGTTTCCAAAATCTTCTCAGACTCGGACTCCCAGTGTTTCCAAACTCTTCCACCTCCTATATATAAAACTGCCCAAACATCCTAGCAAACCCTAGAAAATAAATCCAGCTTCTCTCTAGCCTCTACCGAGCTCCAATACCATATCTGATCGATTCTACTTCTGCAGATGGGAAAGAAGAAGCCCGATGATTCTGGTACAGCACCGAAGGGCAAACCCAGCAAGGACTCTTCCTCCGGCAAAGATGGTAAGAAAGAGAAGTTCTCCGTCTCCGCCATGCTTGCCAGCATGGACCAGAAATCCGATAAGCCCAAGAAACCCTCTTCCTCGGCTGCCAAGCCCAAGGCAAAAGCAGCTCATAAGCTCCCCTCTTACACCGACGGCATCGATCTGCCTCCCTCTGATGACGAAGACGAAGATGTACCCGACTATGGCTCCGGCGAAGAGGACTCCAAGAAACCCGTTCAGCGCCGGCCCGAGTCAAAGCCTCTTGACATCATAGTATCCGAAAAAGAGTTGAAGAAGAGAGAGAAAAAGGACTTACTTGCTGCGCATGCCGTCGAGCAGGCCAAGCAGGACGCTCTGAAGGACGACCGCGACGCTTTCACTGTTGTCATCGGTAGCCGTGCTTCCGTCCTTGATGGCGAGGATAGTGCTGATGCTAATGTGAAGGATGTCACGATTGATAATTTCTCTGTGTCTGCGAGGGGGAAGGAGCTCTTGAAGAATGCTTCGGTTAAGATTTCGCATGGGAAGAGGTATGGGTTGGTTGGACCCAATGGGATGGGCAAATCTACACTGTTGAAGCTTCTTGCTTGGAGGAAGATTCCGGTGCCAAAGAACATCGATGTGCTTTTGGTTGAACAGGAGGTTGTTGGTGATGAGAGGACAGCGTTGGAAGCTGTTGTCTCGGCGAATGAAGAGCTTGTGAGGCTCCGGCAGGAGGTTGCGTCTCTGCAGAATTCGTCGGCTTCTGCTGGAGATGAGGACAACGATAACGATGATGATGCAGGAGAGAAGCTGGCTGAGTTGTATGAGAGGTTGCAGTTGTTGGGGTCTGATGCGGCCGAGGCTCAGGCGTCTAAGATTCTTGCTGGGTTGGGATTCACCAAAGATATGCAGGGCAGGGCTACTCGGTCGTTTAGTGGTGGTTGGAGAATGAGAATTTCATTGGCTAGGGCGCTATTTGTGCAGCCGACCCTTCTGTTGCTTGATGAACCTACCAACCATCTTGACCTTCGAGCTGTTCTGTGGTTGGAGGAATACTTGTGCCGGTGGAAGAAGACTCTTGTCGTGGTGTCGCACGATCGGGATTTTCTTAATACTGTCTGTAATGAGATTATCCATCTTCATGACTTAAAACTCCACTTTTACCGTGGAAATTTTGATGATTTTGAAAGCGGGTATGAGCAACGGCGCAAGGAGATGAACAAGAAGTTCGAGATCTATGACAAACAGGTGAAGGCGGCGAAGAGATCTGGTAATCGGGTTCAGCAGGAGAAGGTCAAGGATCGAGCCAAGTTCAATGCTGCCAAGGAAGCCTCGAAGAATAAGGCAAAAGGCAAAGTTGACGAGGACGAGACTCCTCCAGAGGCACCAAAGAAGTGGAGAGATTACACTGTAGAATTCCACTTTCCCGAGCCTACCGAACTCACCCCGCCTCTGTTGCAACTCATTGAAGTCAGTTTTTGTTATCCAAACAGGGAGGATTTCAGGCTATCGAATGTTGATGTGGGTATTGATATGGGAACTCGTGTAGCTATAGTGGGGCCTAATGGAGCGGGGAAATCGACTTTACTCAATCTTCTTGCTGGTGATTTAGTTCCGACTGAGGGAGAAGTAAGGAGGAGTCAAAAGCTTAGGATTGGGAGATATTCACAGCATTTTGTGGACCTGTTGACAATGGAGGAAACCCCGGTTCAATATCTTCTCCGGCTTCATCCTGAACAAGAAGGGCTTAGCAAACAGGAGGCTGTCCGTGCAAAGCTTGGGAAATTTGGTCTTCCCAGTCATAACCACCTTACCCCTATTGCAAAATTATCAGGAGGCCAGAAATCCCGAGTAGTTTTCACTTCAATTTCCATGTCAAAGCCCCACATTTTGCTATTGGATGAGCCAACAAATCATTTAGACATGCAGAGTATTGATGCACTGGCTGATGCTCTGGATGAGTTCACTGGTGGAGTTGTCTTGGTCAGTCATGATTCCAGGTTAATATCCCGGGTATGCGAGGATGAAGAGAAGAGTGAAATCTGGATAGTAGAAAATGGCACTGTAAAGACTTTTCCTGGGACTTTTGAGGAGTACAAGGAGGAGCTTCAAAGAGAAATCAAAGCAGAGGTCGATGAGTGAGTTAAAGTTCAAGGCATTGGCTATTCTTTCTTTTGATTTATAATAAGTGAGGTGAATTTAAGAAAATGTTCTTTGTTTCCCCTTTGTTATTTGTGAGGAGTGTCTTTATTGTTGCGGAGATGTAGGAAAAACAAACCCTATGCGTTAATGTTTGGGTTTTTCTACTGATATGAAAAACGTCTTTAAATATGGAATGAGTTTGATTACTTGGTATCCACATTTTTTTGGGATTAAAATTGAGACTAAGTTATGACATTATATAATTACAATATTCCTCTCTCTGCAAATACCAATAAAAAACCCATCTCTGCAATTGGTGGCAACATTTGAAACTGGAAGTTCAATTCAACATGAAGATGTTGGCTATCACTTAGTGTGCAATGTGCATGAAGTGGCCGGGGGCAATATAACCATTTTGCAACTTGACTGGCAAAAATGAAATCTTAAATTGTGAGTTGCAAATGCTGCTATTGATGCTAGAATGTGTACTATGCTTGCTAGGCTCCTTAGCACTAGTAAATAAAATGAAATCTTCAATTGTGCAAATCCATATGTTGTCTTCTCTAAAGATTTTAGAAGATTATGAAGAATAGTTTTAGCCTTTGATTCCTGTTGATTTAGTTCTGGTAGAGAAGAGAGGAGGAAATATCGGAGAAATATTTGGGGTGAAAAGAAATTATTGCGTGCACACCTGTTTTGTTGATATTATACACTATTTATAATAGGTACAAAATGATAGAATTGCTCCTATTAGTAGTTAAGCAAGAATAAGCAAAAAAAAAAAAAATCCTATATTCTGCCTTGAATGGACATAGATACCTCTTATTCTTCTAAATGGATGAAGTGCCTAATGTTGGACATGTTTTGGATTTTGTCACTCGGATTCTTGAGAGATACTTTATTACTTTTATGCAACACTTTTCCTTTCTTATTGACATAAATTAATAGCTAATCTATACAATGAATACCGTACTTCCTATAAAATGTTATTGACAAAGACAAACTTATAGACCCTTTTCTACAGGTATATAATGATAGAATTAAGAAAATGTGGGCTATTTAATAGCTTATAGCCTTACACTTTTTTATAGATGTCCCTCCATCCTTGTTCTTTGGTCCTCTTGACTCCCAGTCATGTGTCAGATTCTAGTTCTCGTGTCCGTGTCCATGCAACACTGTATGGAGAACTAAAAACAAAGTAAGATAATCATGAAGTTTGATGTCTCTCTTTCTGGAACTGGTGCGAAAAAACCATCAACAATCTTAACTTCATCCATACTATCTACAATCTGATAGATAGTATGGTTGGAAGCACTTGAATCTTGGGAGTGTTTTGCTCCCTTGGGAAGATAAGAAAGTTTATCTTCCTCTGTAATTCTTCTGTGATTAAGTAATGAAATGTTGTTATTGATAAAAAAAAAAAAGCCTGAGCTAAGAAATCTGCAGACGAACCAGAAGTAGTTGAAGAAGATTGGGTCCCTGCACTGGGAATGGGTTGTGATCCATTGGAGTCTCCAAGGAAAAAATGTTTATGTTAGGCTTTTCCTGCTGTTTCCCATAGACCCGAAATGGATCTGATTCGGATCAGATTCAGCAAAATCCGAATCTGATCCAATTATTGCAAGCTAGCATCTGAATTTGATCTGATCCTAACAGAATCAAATTGGATTTGGATTTAATCCGATTACACCTGAATTTTTTAAAATACAGAAAAATTAAAAAAGTTAATTGCTTTTCAACTTTTATTATACAGGTTGAATGTAAATATAGCATACTTAATTTTTTATTCATATAAATTCATATATAATATAATATATAAATATTTTTTTTTATAATTTTAAATATAATTATATAAGTTTTATATATTAAAATCAATAAATATCATAATACAATCAGATTCAGTTTTTAATAGGATTGATTGGAGTCAAATCCGAACCTGATTCAATTACATAAACACAATCCGAATATGGGATAATTGGATCGGATGCCRGATTGGGCCACAGAGTTTCATGTATCATTGACAGGTCTAGTTTCCCCTTCTTGAATCTAGGAGGGAATTCATGCAGCATAGTTTTCAAGGCGCCAAGGTGAGGCTAGGCGACAGGGGGGCGCCTAGTCGCCTAGGAGATGGATTTTTTTAAGTGAAAAATACATATCCTAGGTAGTTCCCTAGGTTCCATAATCTTTCCTTTATAACTATCCATAATTTTCTTATAAACTTCATGTTTATGTCTAGAAAATCAACATATTTATGAGAAGAAAAAGAAGAAAGAAAAGAAAATTAAAAAAATATGGGGACTGAACCCCATTCAAAAAATATGCTGATTAGACAAAACTTTAAGTTTTTCCCTTATTGGTTCAAATTCTGAAGTCTTTGAGGGTTCAATACAGCAGTTAGCAATGTTTTGTATTGATTAAACCCTAACAAATAAGAAAATAATAAAAAGAAATCAGTTTATAAATACAAAAAATGAATATTTTTGTTTAATAATGTCAATTTTATAATTATAATCTCAAAAAAGTAACAATATAAAAGTATTTTATAAGACACTATACAAAACTGCTAGGTGACTGGGCGAGACGAGCCTCCAAGGGTGCCTTGTCGTCTAGGCATCGCCTTGACAACTATGTCATGCAGCTTGAAATAGTTCTAAATATTTCAGGCTAGGAGGCATGTTCAGTATTCTCCCCATGGGTTTCTCATAATTGATCTCCAGCTAGCCTCACCTCAAACTAGGGAATACGTCTAATGATAAAAAAACTAGGGAATACGCCTCATCAATAGAAGGGACTTTCCCCTTTCTCAACGATTTGAATCTGAGTTATCTCTTGCTTAGTTCTGTGAGGAATTCAAAAGCCTTCTTTTGCTCATTAAGGAAGTTATAGAGTTCTGCATCTCTTGGGTCATGCCATGTCTATGCTTGGTGGTGATCAAACTCATCCCACATACTTTGTAAGGTAGCAAAATGAAAAATTCAATTCAACCCGCTTTGACAAAAAGAAGCAATGTCTTGCTGGAGCTAGTAAAATCCTGACAACTTTTTTCTATGAATATGTCTACCCTGTCCCAAAGACGAGCAGCAGTACAAGGAACAAAAAGAGTCTAGCTAGAGGCTGCATAGAATTCAATAAACCATGATATCAATGCCATGCTCTCTTGCATAGAATTCAAATACCTAAGTTTCCTTCACTCACTTGTATAAATCTTGATTGAACTGCAAATCTGAGACCACACTAGAAAATTTGTTCCATCAAGTTTTAAATTAGTTAAGCTGGACATACTTATCACACATCATAGTAACTTCACCAAAAAACCAAGCTACTAGAAACAGCCCTATGTGAGAGATTGAAACATCAAGTTTTCAGGAATGATGCTAAAATAGAACCAATATGTGTAAATTATCCCTTGTTCAAAATCTAAGAGTCTTGGGAGTTGTAGTTTGAGTTTTATTGGCCGGGGTTGGTTGCTTTCTTCACCTTTCCCTGGGTCTCTGTTGTGCTATTAACAATGCAAGGCTACTAGATGAATGGTCCATATGAAACTATTTGCAAGGAGATTGGATCTGCTCCTTACAGAGCGTGCATCACACCAACCTCACAGTGCATCACAGCTGTGCATTGAGAACATCTCCCGTACATGATGTTATCATTCATGGGAAGATGTTCCCAATGCACGGCTGCGATGCATTGTGAGGATGGTGTGACTGTGAGAGGCACGCTTTATGAGGAGCAGATCCGAACTCATTTGCAAGGCTTCTGGACAGTTATGGAGCTGTGTCTAAGCTATTTGAATGAGGTGTCTTCACTAGCGTTTTAAAACTGCAAGGCACAAAAAAAAGCACAGGGGCAATTTGCGCCTGAGGTGCAAGGCACAAAAATACAAAAATGCCCAAAAAATGTAAGAAAATTCAAAAGAAAATGATTTGTCATCCTAACCCAGGGTTTAAAGTTTTGAGGAATTCTAGTTCCTCTATTCTTCAGCAAACACTTGATCATTGAAGCCTTTTCAGCTGCAAATCTTTTAGACTGTTGTCCTTGTAAAAAATCTTTTAGTGTTGTCTACATAGATACCTGGTAAATGAACCTTTAATGATTTTGATTTTTGATAGAAATYTTCCAAAGTTTATAATTATGTCTGTGTATTGATCTTTTACATCCTCAAGTTTCACTTCTGTATTGCAAAGTTTATGAATTCCATTGATAAAAAAAAAGTTTTATTAACTTTCTATCTCCTTGTATCATAGTTGTGGTTGCATCTACAGTAGTCAATCCTGTGACAGCAGTTTTACCTTGATATTTGACACAAGTGCCAAGTAATCAGGAATCTCCAGGTACCCGGAATGCCAACCTTCAAAAATCATTGCATGGGGATGCAACTGGAAATAATATTTAACAACATAAATGATTTTAAAATATAGTAAAATAAGAAAAATCAATGTGTAGATTCATTGGATGTGTCCTTTGTTGTGATATCTTCTTGTTTATGAGTACTCAGTGTCAAGTTTTTTATTTTCTATTTTTATTTTTTGGGTGACCTTGGCTTCAAGCATCATCAAAATGCTAGTGTTATGACTGTTATCCCAAGTTCCAATTGTTACCATGGCATCCTATAGTCAGCATGGCTGGAACACTTCCGTGGTTGTCTGGTAACTCTGCTGAAGATCCTCTTGTGCTCTTTTATTTACCAACATTTGTGGCCAGATACTATATTGCTGTTACCCGTGAAAACTTTTCTATCCAAACTCCAAGTTTAGTTAATACAAAACAGTATGACATAGCTTGTTGACTTGTACAAGGTACTGTTTTTCTATGAAGTTCGTTCCACTTTATTCTATCCCCAGCACAAAAGGAATTCCTTATTGGCTGATGACAAACTAAGTCCAACTACTGAAAAGATTCCAATGCTTGGGTAACTATTTTACCCCTCAAATTTTAAAAATATGACAACAATTTGACTATGTTCAAAGGAATTTCCAAATTGGAATTAGTGATTTAAAAGGCGTGCCTAGGGAGGCACATTTTAGGGTAGGCACCTCACTCAGGTCCTAGGCGCAATACTTTCAAAGGCGTGCACCTGATGTGCCTTGCACCTTAGCTGCTTGCTTCGCTCGCTCACCAAGGCTCTAAGAACCCCCTATTTGCTAGTGTTATCCATTCATTCATCTTAATAAAACATTTTCTTAAAAGGCAATTAAAATTATAAAATTATTATTTTTTGTGTGAGAATTAAGAATTTAAGATCCAAACATGAACTTGTTTGGGCTTGCCTTGAGGATTGTGACACAAAGGCGACTCCTAGAATCGAGAATGTAATATGTTTTACATCACATTAGCTACTTGAATATAATATGTTTTACACCACATTAGCTAAAAAAAAAGAGATTATGGGCTTAACATGCTTGAAAATGTTTTATATGTTTAATTTTATTTTTAAATTTTCATTTGAATATACTTTAGATGTTATGTTTATGWATTTTAATTTTAAATAATCGATTTTTTAAACCATTAATTTTAAAATTTAAGTTTATATTTCTTATTAATATTATGTTTAATATATTTTTATTTAATTTTTTGGCATTTTTTTGAATTTCGCCTCAGGCACAAATTGGCCCTTGCGCCTTGTGCTTTTAAAACACTGATTGGAATACCATAAAAATTGACTCATGAAAGTAAATTGTAGAACATTTCAAACACTGATTGGAATGCCAAATTGTTTAATATCAAAAGAATAAAATCAAATTGTCGAACATTTCAAATTGACTCATGAAAGTAAATTGGAAGAACAAGAGATTTGAACCAGGTTTTACCATCAATTATCAAAAGTATGAGTTGATGATGGTCCCTCTAGCCAGTCAAAACCTAATTCATACACATGTTTGGGGTGTAATCAGGATCTGAGTTACTTTTTATGGTAATGTTGATGCCCCTCTTGACATGGTACTAACACGAGAATTGGGTAATAGCTCCCTTCACTATACACAGAAAACCCGGTGAGGAACATTTAACATGGTGTTTCATTAACGTGGCCAGAATTTGAATTCTGAACACAGTGCAGAAAAACTGAGCAGCATTGTTTCTCCAAATGATTGCTTCCAGAATAGACTCCATTCTCTCATCTTGAAGCTTCTTCACATTTTTCTAACTCCCTGTCTTGGTTGCTGACATGGGTGCATGGGGTTGGGCATCTTTTTCCTTCTACCTTCATAGTTCAGACGATAATTTCTGAAAGAGAAGTTCTAATCTTTTAAAGTGATTAAACCTCAACACTCTCTTCTTCAAGCTTCTTCCTCGCTTCTGCTTCAAGCTTAGTTTGGTTGCCAATAGCATCGGATATTGCCTTGGGTAGTAGGAAGCCAGATCTCTCAAGGAATGGTGCCCGATCAAGAACCAATGGCTCACGCACTGTCATCTCAATGCCATCATATGTCCCTATTGTCAAGGTTGCCTCCCCTTTGAGTCCTAAAGAAAACCAACCAAGCCCAGCAGCTGCAACATCAATACTGTTCACATCCCAGCTGTTGCCAGATACCTTAATTTCTCTCTGCTCCCATTTCCCAAGTTCAGGTACCCGATCTACACTGCCGGGAGGCTGATTGAACAAAGAGGTGAAATATGTCATGCATTTGGCACAAACAAAATTGAACAATATCTAAGTACAGAATGATTGATGCATGCTGGTTAGAATGAGTTGCAAATGAAATACATTTAGGAATTACTATTACTTGAGCAAAGAAAAGGGAAATTATTATCGAACTTGCAAGTCTCATTGTTTCTGTGGCAACAATGTTGATTGGTTGGTTAATTTTTGTTGCCATTATTGTTATCATCATCTTAATCATCATTAACTGCAACCATTATTTTATTAATGCATAAAAAATCCCACTCTCAATATAATATATCAAAGTGAAGGAACATGTGCAACAATGGAAGGCCGACAACCTGTCATTTCATCAAAAACCAGAAAATTTCACCTTGTTACAAATTAACGCCCAGGCTTAGTGCCCCCATACCAGATTTCCCCTAGTCGCCCCTCCCCTTGTAGTGTTACAAAAAAGTGTTTGCTAATATAGGTGCCTACCCGAACAAGCAGTTCAGGTTAGAAGACTGTGCCTTCTGTTTCTGTAAACAAGAATCGTTAAGGGTCCAAGGGCAATCTTCTCTTGTTAAAAACCAGCTAATCTCCACTTGGCAGTCCCTCCACTTACAGTTCATTTCATCTCCATGAATTGACTAGTTATCCTTGAACTAGGGGAAAGCCCATCCCAAAAGAGCTCTTTGCATCAAGGTTTTAAATTTTTTAACTTTGGGAGATTTTTTTATCAATTTCAATTGTTTTACTAATATTTGAGGAGTACTTTTATGTCTATATTGTTGACTTTATGTTATTTTGATAATCTAAAATTTTGGGCAAAATAAATGGCCGAAGTCCTATATTTTCAATGAAATTCTGAGATTTCATTGGGATTTCAGCCTACATAATCTGCCCAATATATTTTCATAATTGTGTTGGTGGCTTTATATGAAACTGAAATTTTGCAAATTTCATCAATATTTGAAACCATATTAGAGAAAAAAAGTTTTTATTTCTAGCATCTGTATGCTTCACCTACTATATATATTCTATCTTCATAAGATGCACAAGACGAAAATACTTTGTGAATGATTCTTCACAAAAGTTTTCTTTTATCATTAAACCAACCAGAGAGGTTTTATTAAATAAAGCAATCAGAACTGCTACTAATTGGAGATAAGTACAAAACTGTACGGTAACAAGTATTAGAAAATACAGCGCATAGCTAACCAAGGACTCCAGATCTGCTACCCACAAGACACTACAGCCGCACATCAGGAACATTCCCCATGAATGATAACATTCAAACAAGGAGATATTCCTGATGTATGGCTGCAGTGTCTTGCAGGTAGATGTGGGTAGCAGATCTGAGCGTCTAACGAAGACTACAGGATAGTTTGTAGGGTCAAAAGCCAAAATTAGGGCATAAGAGTAGGAGAATTAGAAAGTGTTGGTGTTTGAATATAGTTGAGATCTCTAAGCACAAAGAATTTCACAAGCAGAATTTAGGAGGCAGAGATGCAGGTTCACATCTCCCCTCCCAACTCAAAATAATTAAGGATCAAGGACATGATGAGGCCATTTAATGGTTATTGTATTAATTGTTCAGATTGTTACAATAACACCTACTGTTTTGTGGTGATTAATTCTTTTGGAAGTTCATAATCAGGTGGCAATGCAGCTAACTCAATTTTGAGCTGTCCATTGATGCATCTCTAATTATTTGGATGGTAAAGTTTTACCTGTAACCTGGTGCCCACATGCTTTCTCCAGATTTCATCTGCATTTTCTATTTTTCCCAAGTGAAGGGAAACATTTGGCGATGCCCATATTGTTACATAAATGGTTTGTACCGAAGCTTGATTCAAGTCCAGCCGCATTAAACCACCAACATGGACTGCCTGCCCTGCCTGCAAAAGAAACACATTTTTTATCATTAATGAAGAGATGCATTATTTATAAAGATAGTCAAAAATACAAAGCCTTCCTACTCTAAAGTTGAGAGGAATGGCCGGTAATAAAGAACCGGAAATAGAACTTCTGGCTGGGCCATCTGCTAGAGAGTTTGCTTATCTTGGGATCCAGTTGAAATGCTGAATAAGGTATTTTCATCCTTATTGTGAATAATGTTGCTTTTCTCATATGATGGTGTAGTTTCCACTTCCCAAGGACCTTCTGATGTGGAGTCTATCCAGACTATGACAACTGATGAATATTCTTCAATCTCTATGCCTTTCATGCCTACAAAGTAGATTATCCATAGACCATGCAGCTAAGGTACAGTTTTTATTCTCATTGCTGTTGCTTCTCCAATGAGACTAGACACCAGAATATGCTGCCATCATCTATCCTCTATGACATCAAAAAGTGTCCCCAAGGCCTCTTGGTTGCCTATCATTGAAATTGAGTTCTCCCTGACCTTGAGGCAGGGGAATCCATTCCCTTTGTAGTGCTTGACTTGGCCAAGCAAAAGATACTACTACTTCCATCTTCTGAGGATGGAATAGATACCGGTGCTTTAAAAGGTGTGGGAGGCATATGCCTAGAGGCGAGCCTCTAGGCAAGGTGCCCCAAAAACACCCTGAGGCATATACCAGAGGTGTGATGCCTCATACGCCTTTTGCATGAGGTGTGCTAGATGTGTATGCCTAATGTGCCTCATGCACACCTCGTACAAAAGACAGGGAAAAAAAAGAAAGGGAAGGGAAAGAAAAAGAAAAAAAATAAAGAGAAGAAAAAAAGAGAAAAAGAAAAGAAAAGTCAACTAGTGTTATGCATCTTCATTCTTCTCAATATAAGGCATCTTTCACAAAAAAAAATAATAAAATAAAATAAATAGATGAGATCCTCCTTCCTCTTTTTCCTCACCCCACCCTCCTCTTACATTCTGAACTATGCCTCCCGCCTCCAGGTAGTGGAATGCCTCATGACACACCTCCATGTTTTAAAACATTGATAGATGCAAACCTCTTCAAATTCTTCTCTCATAGATGTCCAATTCTCTGTTCTTATTGTGACCACCTCAACGATGGAATTTGGCTTCATTGTTTTATCTTGGAAGGTTCTTGCTATTCTCTCCTCCAACCAGAAGCATTTGAACCAGTGGGCACATCTTTTTTCTATCATAAGAATTAGTTGCAGATCTAACTGAAGTTTAACAAAAGTATTGGAGATATTCACCAGTAGAATCATAAAAAGTGATACAATCTTAAAGAGTAAGAAAACCAAATGAAAATATTCAAGTAGATAATAAGAAAGGAAAACAGTAAATGTTGACAAAGAACTAAGCTAATTTGCCTAGGTAGAGACTTCAGACCTTGCCCATGAAAGGAAAAGGATGCTCACAATGTAATGTTCAACCTTGGGAAAAAATAGTTAATGCTAAATATGCTAAACAATTTAGAGAACGATGTAACTTAATTTGCAGATGCAACCATCATCCCTCCACTACTGTTTCCTCCAAACTCATTTTTTACTTTGTCAAAAATACTTTTTCAATGATCTGATTTCTATTATACTAAAGATAAAATTCATTCAAAGAGAAAGAGGGCATAAAAATAGGTGATAAGGAATAACACCCAAAGGAAAAAAAATAACAAGAAGAACCCCCATCTATCTCAACAACAACGTCAATTCCACCATGATCACACCTAAGAACTCACAAGCAAAGAATTTCATGGGGTGTCAGCAGATGCAATCACCAAAGGATGGCAACCAATGGCCAGGCGGCCAGCTTTGCTACACCCATGCAACATGTACTTCAGGAATGGGAACCTCCAGACTCAAATGATGGGAAAAGCCAAGTAAACTTTGATGACTACACTAGGCAACCTGCCCTGGGCATATTGGGTTTGGATGTTGCTATAGAAGATCAAAAGGGGATACCATTTTAATATATTCAGGACATATGGGTGAAGGGAATAAAATAAAGGCATAATTGACCCCTATTCTTGAAGGCTTAAAGGTAGGTTTGCGTAGGGTTTAGACGAAACTCAAATAGAAGAGTGGGACCTTGGGTATAAGGCATTCACGTAGTCTAAACTCTACATTCAAGTAGGGTTTGGAGTATTTAGACTACAATCAAGTTATAATTAGCTGGATGCATTATTGATAAAAAGAAATAATAATTAGCTGGATGCATTCATCTGAGGATGGGCCTTGGGTGTAAGACATGCATTAGAAATGCAAGGTACTTGGCCTCTCATTCAACGAGATTCGAAGATCTACTGATGTATTGGCTGATAGTCTTGCTTGAGGAGTAGATAAAAAAGGGTCTCTTTTGGGAGCTGTTGAACTAGTGCTGATTATTGATTTTACTTTAGCTCTTTGATTCTATGTAGAAGTCAGTGATGGACACTGCTTCGTACTTCCCTTTGGTGCTTTAATATGACGTTTAACTCTAATATTTCATTACATATCCATCAGTGATAAAATAACATGGCACAAAAGGGCCAAGTAGCTTAAATAAGAAGACCACAACTTAAAACCAAGGATGTTTGGACCCTAAATGTTAGTGATCTAGTTAGCTATCTTTCTAACGAGAAAAAGTTAACTGACTTCTTCTTCCCACCCCCCCTCTTTTGCTTCAGCTTGCACACTCATATTGGCTTCAACAAACAATGTTATAGATTGCTCATTATCATCAGCAGATCAGAACCTCAATTGATTATAGTAGGTTCAATCAGTTAGCTGCAGTTTGCACTACTATAGCAAAGGAGTAAAATTCGTTGCAAAAGCAAAAGAAAAACATAAAGTGGTGGACCCGGTGGATAAACTTGCCTTTATCCTGTAAGTTCGAGGCTGCAGCTCCTTCCGGACCTCAACCATCTTCTGCTCCTCCCTGTTCAATCTCATCGACATCAAATATGGATGCAGGAGGCCAGGAGTGTCATACATCTTTGCTTTGGCAGGTAAAATCCCTCGAATTCTTATGATCCCAAGCGTTGTGCCAGGAACCGCAGCTTCAGTTAGCTTTGTAACCTTTGCACCTTCTTTCTTGGAAAATGCATTAATAAGAGTAGATTTACCTGCATTCTGAGCCCCAATCACCCATACATTCCCTCGAGGGCCTGCCAACTCTTTGATGAATGACAACAAATTCCTAACACCAAGATCCTTACGTGCACTAACCAGATAAACACCACTTAATTTGGGTGCCCCTCCAGCCTTAGCACGATTTCGAACCCACCTATCTAATCTTGACGGTGAAACCTGAGACGGAAGAAGATCGACCTTTGTTGCGACCAGGACTAGCTTCGGTAAGTTCTTGCCGAGCTTTGGGTCCTTCTTGCTTCCTTCCAATGCCTTGAACAATGATTTTGCTGCCCGTTTGGGGAACGAACCATCAAAATCAACGCAATCAACCACCATAACTACAACTATAGCATCGGAGGCACTGGAGGGTTTCATCAACCGAGTGGTTATCAATCGATCAAAGTCGAAATCGGGTATCAAGTTCTCTGCTTTCTGGTTCTTCACCTGCCCATAATTTCTTAACGAATGGCACCGAGCACAAACAGTAGCCACTACTTCTTCGTTTCTGAGAGCTTCTCTAGCCTTCCGCTTCTTCTCAGCTTTTGAAACCTTCTGCTTTTTTACCTTCCTCGACGTCTCTTCAGTAATGTTGCCATACCCAACTCCAGCAGGCGCAAACCCGTCCAACTCCTTCTTCCGCTTCTCGTCTTCATCTTCAATTTCAAATTCCCAATCGTCAGAGCTCCAATCAATCCCATCATCCTTCTCCAATTCATCTCCTTCTTCATCGCTTCTTTCAAGTTTACTCTGGAACCCTTCTGATAACTCTTCCTCGTCCTCCCCTTCATCAAATTCTTCCAATTCATCATCGAATTGATCCGAAAAAGCCTCCTCGTCCTCGTCTTCAGCTGTTTCTTTCTGAGGGGCCCTCCTTTTCTGGTAGAAACCGGGGAGATTTGGGTCTTTATCTTGCATAAAAACCCCACAGCCAGGACAGACATGGCCAAGGCTCTCATCTTCATCTCGCCCTTCACTCAGGATTGGGTAACGAGGGCCTTTTCCCGAACCTTTCACGAGCTGGGTCTGTGTTGTTGAAGTGCGTTTTTCTCCCTTCAACGAACAGTATAGCTGCCAAGAAGACCTTCCGTTGTTGCTCTCCTTCCTCCTCACGCCTGATAGGAGGTTAATGTTTATGGATTGGCTTTAAATCTTTTGGTTGAAACAAATAAGAACAATGGAAATGTGAGACAAGGGACATTAGCGGAATAACTTGGATAACTTACCAGTAAATAAACAACTTGTTGATGGGTCTCCTCCTCTCCCATCGCCGCCATTATTGGGGAGCTTAAACCTCAGGGTAGTGGTTGTTGTCGAGAGATATGAGGCAGTGGAGAGTAGGATAGCCATTTCTCTGCAAAGCGTATTGCAGCACTGCAGCTGCAGGCAGGGATTTCGGCCAACTCTGCATATAGGAGAAAGTTTAAAGACAATGATTTGTCCGTAGTATGCCCAAACCCGTTTATCCCTTTCCCGGGTTGACCCGACATTMAGATTTGGAGGTATGTGTTGTGGAATCTGACTGTTTTGGGTATTTAGGGAAAATAGGATCATATGAACATAGGGTATTTAAATTAGTATTAATGCTATAGGTATTTTAATAATCTACCATAGTGTTGGAAGTAAACTGGGGCTAGCAATTTTGACGTTAATTTATTTGACCCACCAATCCACCCACATGAAGATCCATCCATTGTGTCAATCTGGTCAAGTGATCCATTAGGGTCAACTTGTGCCCCCCACATAAGATTGCTCCCCATAATGTCTCACAGCACATTGTCATCGTGTATAGGGAACATCTCCTGATGATATATCA